GAGGTGACTTCTCCAAAAAATGTTTTTTCTAACAGCGTGCAGCTGTGATGGGTTGTGTACAAAGTTATATGATTTCTACTTCTTACCTTTTTTAAAAATGTAGTGAGTAGAAAGTACAAATAATTGTGTGAAAATCTAATGAGTAAAAGTAAAAAGTACGCTGAAAAATAATTACTCAAGTACAGATAACCAAAATTTCTACTTAAGTACAGTAACAAAGTATTTGTACTTAGCTACTTTACAACTCTGTGTATTTATGACTAATCAAGGCATTTTCCCTAACGCTAAACTTTACCAATCTATTCCTAACCTGAACCAAAACTTAATCCAAACCATAACTCTAAACCTAACTAGTAGAGCACAGTAGAACTGCAAAAAAAAAAAAGTGAGGACAAGAAAAATGTCCTCAATTTGTTGGTTAAAAACATATGACGGTCCTCACTCTATAGCATAAACAAGCACACACACACACACACACACACACACACACACACACACACACACACACAGTCATGTCAGCAGCCTGTTTCGTGTGAACAGGAAACATTTATCTCTGCTCTGATTCCAGACTTCGAGGTCCTGATCCGGGACTTGTTCAAGCCTCAGCTAGACGAGCTCTTGGGCTCTCAGCCAGGGTCCAGGTTCACGTCTGAAGATCTCTGCAGCCTTCTGGAGTCTCCCACCAACCCACCGGTACCAGTCAGGGTTCTGAAAAACATCTGAAACAGTCCGGTCCAGATCCAGAACTCAGGATCCAGACCTGCAGATTCAGACCTTAAAGTCCAGAGCTGGCTGAGGGTCTGATACTCGTGGATCTGAGTCGTTTGATTTCAGATCTGAACTAAATCAGCTGCAGAGAAAAAAATATGATAAATTTAAACTTTATTAATCTTTTATTGTTTCATCCAAACAATTTAAATCTTTATATATTTTAATGTGTTTGTTGTTGAAGTCAACACCAGAACTCCATCCTTCAACATGATTTCTGATTGGACTCTAACCAGAACCAGAGTAAYGGGTCGATCCGGACTCATTGATCTGTTGATGCTCTGAGGCCAGGAATCGTCCAATCAGCAGAAAGTAAAGATTTTTAACACYGTGGGGTCAGAAAGTGTCGAGCCGACAGTTAATCACAACAACGGGAGGCAGAATAAAATAATCCTGTTTGTTTGATTTATTCATTTATTTATGAAACATCTGCTGATAAAACCTGAAACTAACATTAACTTTTTACCCAACATTTAAAAAAGTCTGAGAGGAAAATCTGAGGGGGTAAAAGACCAGATAGTTCAGACCCTAACAGAAGACCAGACCTGGTTTTTGTTTGTGTGCAGCCGTGTCTGTCGGACTCTGAGGACCTGGAGGAGATGGAGCGGCTCAGGAAGGAGCACATCGAGGCTCTGAGGGACATCAAGAGGCTGCAGGTAACCCCGCCTCCACCTGAGGCTCTACAGAAACCAGCAAGTCTTCCAGTCTGCTGCTGACTCTGGGTTTGTTCTGGACTCTGGTTCCTGCAGGAGCAGCTGGCCGAGTCTCAGAGGGTCCACCAGGAGCTGCAGGACGAGCTGAGTCAAGTCAAACAGGTGAGTCTCGCCTACTGAACTGCACACCTGTTTCCCTAAAACGTTTCTTAAAATGGTTCCGGCTCAGTCTGATTCACAGATCCGCAGCTGAAGTTGGGCGTTGTAGTAGCTGAGAGTCATTCCAACACATCGTCTGAGTTCTGACAGAACTTTATTTTCAAGGTTTGACCCAAACAGAAACAACTTCCTCCTTTCTCATAAGATGAAGTCTGTGTAAAAGTCCAAGAACTGTTAGGTTTTYAATGTTAGCATGTCTGATGTCTAAAACTGTAGACCTGAACAGGGTGGACTTTCTTTAATATTATGACTTAAAAAAGTCATAATATTATGAGAACAATGTTGTCATAGTACGAGGAAAAGAAGTCACAATATTACAAGAATAATGTCATAATATTATAAGGAAAATGGTCATCATATTATGAGAATAAAGTCATAATATTATGAAAATAATGTCATAATACTATAAGGAAAATAGTTATAATATTATGAGATAATGTCATTATATTATAAGGAAAATGGTCATCATATTATGAGAATAAAGTCATAATATAAGGAAAATAGTCATAATATTATGAGAATAAAGTCATAAAATAATGAGAATAATGTCATAATATTATAAGGAAAATAGTCATAATATTATGAGAATAAAGTCATAAAATAATGAGAATAATGTCATAATATTATAAGGAAAATAGTCATAATATTATGAGAATAAAGTCATAAAATTATGAGAATAATGTCATAATATTATAAGGAAAATAGTCATCATACTATGAGAATAAAGTCCTAATATTATAAGGAAAATGGTCATCATATTATG